TGAAAATGTGTCAGAGTTTGTGAAAGTGTTATCAGAATGGATGGATGATATTCACAATCAAGTGCGTTCAAACTTGAAAACGTCTGCTGATTCAATGAAGTTATGTTATGATAGGAATTCTACTGAAGTCAGCTTTGTACCAGGAGACAAGGCGTGGTTGTATAATTCCAGGAAGACCAAATGGAAGTTTCCTAAGTTGTCTTCTCCATGGGAAGGCCCATATGACATAGTGGATCATCTCTTAGACGTGACTTTCCGGATAAAATGTGGTCAGCGAGGTAAGCCAAAAGTGGTGCATGCCAACAGGCTTTGGCGTTATCACGGTCCAGGACATTTCAGTTGGACGAAGGGAACAACAGAACAAATGATGCTGCTGAAGACGTGTCACCTGACAAAGCCACCGTTGAAGAAGAAACTCTACTCAGTTTTGAGTATCACGCCACTTCTTTCTCGAACCTTCGTGAATTGTCGGGAGATTACTAGATTGGGGGTAGTCTGGTATATATAAGATGGTCACAGCGTGATGGGACAATGTGTAGGTAATGAGTAATTGAACTGCAGTCAGAGAGTGTGTAATTGAGTATTGTCGAGCACAAGCACGTGAGACGTTCTAGCGTTTGTTATAGAGCGACTGTTGAAATTAAGTGTATCGGTAAAGTTGTATTCGAAAAGAATAAACCAGTTTTATTTAAGAAAGGACTTGTGTTGCTAAAGTTTCTTCGGAACAAATTTACGGAAAATTAACTGACGACTGGAGGCGTAACACTATATTGAATAGTTATTAATATATTGCAGTGATAAAGTGTCAATATTATTACTTGAAATCTACCGTAAGGTTGCATATTTCGTAATTTAATATCAGAGTAAATATACTAAGGAGAAGGTTGGATGATGTATGATAGAAATCAAGGGTGGTTTAATATCATTTCTATTTTTATTGGTTTTTTTAGGGTTAACTATCATACCCACAACTGGCTATAGATGGTGAGTGATAGTGGGATCTGGGACATTGTGAGTTCTAGCACCCAAATCCTAATCCCCTTTTTTATGGTTACATGCTGAGTAGCTCTGCATCTGTTTTTTTGATTATGTCTGATAGATGGAATATCTCCGATGCTTTGGGGAGCTATAACCGCAGAAATTTTCACTTTAAAATGATACCTTTTGTACTTATGTACAAATGGTATAATTTTTCACTGTTATATTAGAACTTTGTTTGCACGTTCACTTACTTGTTGGCGCATACATCTACATGTACAATAGATAAATTGTAGGTTATATATATATATACACACACATACACACACACACATGTATTCAGGAATACACACAAGTAACAAATGCTCTGTCAGTGTTTTTAGTTTCTGATGTCTTGCTTAATTTAAATTTTAATGATAATGTGTATACATCCTGTTTTAACGTGTATCTCCCTATACCAACATTTTATTGCAATAAACTATTAACTTATGATTCAATTCTTTTTTTTGTCTTTATGTATAATAAATGGGATATTTAAGCAAAATGTTATTATGATGTCTTTTATAATTAGAGACATTTTAGGTTTAATGGGTCCATTCACAAATCAGGTTTATATAGTTAGTAAGTGATAAAAATTTGAAGCTGCTATGGTTAATTATGTAAAGGAATGTCATAAATCTCATGAAAGTCTGAAAATAAATAGTTTAGTAAACATTTCACATGATAATATAAGGAATGAATAGAGAAAGTCACACACACATACAAACACACACACAGGTATGCATGTAGTTTGATATCATGTCAGTTTTAGCTACATTGTATCTATTCATACAGATCCAGAAGTATATAAACATTTTTGAAGTCAAAATCTATATATATATATTAAACATTATTAAAAGTAACCCACCTTAACTATAAAAAATGGCCTTTAACTTTTACATGAATACAAATCTTAATTTTCAATACACTGATATACAGTTAACTGGTTTTAAAAGACAGAGTACTGAAGGATATCATATTAAAATAAAAATGTGTGATAACTAAATATTTATTTTAATATGTAGGAAAAACAAGCATCATAAGAAATTTTAAAATTCTTCTCACACTTTTTGCACTACAACTGAAAAACAATAACCTAACCTTACCTTCAGGAGTTCTGGAGAAGAAACAGAATCCTTTCGTTCAGTTGCCAAGCGCCGAACAATGTGGCTTTTTTCATGCACATTTCCTTTTAGAAGATGTGCCATTGCAGCTACAAAAGAACGATAATTGACAAGTCTGTTATGAGACTCAGATTTATTCAAGACATTGGCCATTTCATCGTGTAGTCTTTCAATCATAAGTGCAGGAAGAAATGGTTCCAAGTGGCGCTGCAAATTCATTAAATCAAAGTTTTAGAAATTTATATTAGAATTCATCTTATGAAGCTAGATGAAGTTTTTGCCACTGTTTAAAACTTGTTTTAGTATATCTAAATAACTGCTAGTTAATATTAAAGGTCATACACACACACACAAAAAAACATATACACGTGTATATGCAAAAATACTATTATGACAGTCAATAAAAGACTGACATCAAATGGAAGAACTGTGTTAAAAACACCAAGCTTAAACCTGTGACAAAAAAACATTTTAATTATCAAAACACACTTTAGCAAAAAACAAAAATGCTGCATAAATTAAAAAGATCAAGGCACAGACTATAAGGTGGGATATAAGATGTGTCCTGGGTTTTGGAGGTGCTGCAGAAGTAGGACCCACATTGCAGAGGGAATAATCTAACTATCAGTCTTAACCTTCGTTCACTAGTCTCAAATGTTAAAGAAAGACAAATAAACAAAAATAAGTAAGAAAAATAAGAATAAGCAAGGATAACAAAATGTGGGTGCTCAAGAAAACAACATCCCACATCTACATTGCCCTTCACTGCCTGCAGACAGTTGTGGGAAGGTGACTGCTCTCCAAAGAAATATAAAATGAAAGAAAAATGAAAATAAGGTCCTACCACATCTTGCTCTCCTTACTTATTCTTATTTTTTGTTTATTCTTTTTTTGACATGCGAGACTAGCAAACAGAGGTTAAGACTGGTAGACAGGGTATTCCCACCTCAATGTGGGTCCCACTTAAACAGTCACATCTTATATCCCACATTATAACCTGTGCCCTGGTAATGTTTAAAATCTATGCAGCATTTTTGTGTTCTGTTAAGGCTTGTTTTCATAATTAGAATATATATATACACACACTAAGCTTTCCTACACCTAATAGAAAAAATTAGAGAAAAATTAGAATAGAGAACACACTAAAAGAAAAGTTTAAAACATTGTGGTAGGAAATGAGAGTGAATAATTGGCAAGATATTTGTTTTGTTTTTTGTTTTTTATTAGCATAACATTAAGTAAATTGCTCTTCCTCAGGTAAATTAAAGCCCAAAAACAAGTTTGAGTACTAAATGTTTCATTTCATTATACTATATTATACTGTACATCAATACCATGAATATCATAATACAAGCTTAGAGAAAAGGTAAAAATGACAACTTATGAAAACTGACGATGAAATTAGTTAAAACTGTGGCATTATAAATGAATAACTACAAATAAGGGTATTGCATTAAATTTTTATAAATACATGTGTAAAACTAAAAATGTCAATATTAAAACATATATAATCCTAATTTTAATAAAATTAAGTTACAGCTAAATAGCCATAATTCAATAATAACTGAATTTTCAATGTTATATTGTAATTAAATCAACAGCTTATCACATGGCTGGATAAAATATTTCAAGTCAAATTCACAAGTTTATAGGTACATACTTTTCAAGGAAGAAATATTTTCATTAGAGCTGGGTGATTAACTTGATTAATATCTATGAGCATCAATTTGTCTTGTAAAATATTCGATGACTAATGTCATGAAATAATCAACTAATCTAAATCAGTGATTTTGATTATTACTATTTTTCAGTATTCTAACTATCCAAGTAATTAAAATATTGCCATTATGATATCTTATTATTATATTCTATTCATTCAAGATTGTTCAGCTGAATCAATTAGTGTCACAGCTCGGGTCTAGGGTAATAAGTAAACTTTGGCAGTTTGAAAAATTGATTCTTTCAAATACAGTAGAAAAATAGAGAAGGGTAAACAGAGACAAAAAAATCAGATTCAAAATATCCACCACTAGAGAAGTAGTTTCTGAAACTGGGAACCAGTGAATTGAAAGATGAATGTCTGCTGTTGCAAATACAGTGATTTGAAAAGGTTTTTCATTGTACAAAACTTGAAGATAGTTTTGATATACGAAAACATCTGTTAGCTGAGTTCTTACACAAATCTTAAAATATAATGTTCATAAATGGAAAAATTGGCTCATGTAGATACGTAGATCTTGAAAGTCGAGTTGTTCAAAACTTGAAAATAGCATAGATAACTGGACCAATTGTTGGTTGAGATGCTGCAAACGAAATATCTGCTGAAGCTTTTGGCCAGACACTAATAATAGCAGAACCGTCTGGAAAATGATCTATAGGAAATAGTAGATCTTGAAAGTAGAGTTGTTCAAAACTTGAAAATAGCATAGATAACTGGACCAATTGTTGGTTGAGATTCTGCAAAAGAAATATCTGCTGAAGCTTTTGGCCAGACACTAATAATAGCAGAACCGTCTGGAAAATGATCTATAGGAAATAGTACAGCTTATAAAATGAGTCAGATCAATGTAGGCCAGTAAGACAATCACTGATTGGCATGTCCTTTAGCCAATCAGGAAATATCACAGACCTACTAAAGGGATGTGTAAATTGTATAGGAATTCTTTTTGGCAGCAAAGGACCGGTTTGTGTTTCAATAATGTTACGACAGTGGGGTCACGTGACGAGTATTCTAGAAGATTCGCTAGTGTGTTATGACAGCGGGGGTCACGTGACGAGTATTTTAGAAGATTCGCTAGTGTGTTACGACAGCGGGAGTCAAGTGACGCTGGTAGCACGTGTTGAGAGTCTTAGAAGTTTCTAGAACAGGCAGTATTATCATATATAAGTACGCTAGACAGTGAGAGAGACAGAGGGAGGCAGAGACGTAGCGAAGACGAAGCAGGCAGAGAGAAAGAAAGACAGCGATTACGGTCGGCGGGAACTGAGGATTGTAGGCACAGAGATCGGAACTATAGTTTGCGGGGACGGACAATTAAGTGCGATAGAAAGTGAGTGAATTGTTGTGAACTATAATGTGTGTAACAGTGAAAATTAAGTACATTGCAAAGTTGTAATGAGGAAGAATAAACAAGTTTTATAAAGAAAGGACTTGTATCTTAGAAGAATTAACAAACAAACATACAGAGATGTAACAATAACAAAAGCTCTACCACCAAAATGTGAATCAGCGATTGGCCAGCATTTACTAGTGAACCCGACTTGTGCTGACAACTACATGGGTAGCAGGTTTGAAATTATTGCAAATGGTCAGTCAACCTTTCATCTCTCTATTTTGGAAGCCACAAATAGGAAGTCATGTGTCTCATCCAGCTACAATCAACACCAGATCCACTGGGAACCAACATCCAGCAGATGGTAGGAAGAAGGAGCACAACTATGAGGTTACATCTCCAGTCAAAAACCTGGTAGCATTGGGAGTATATTGTCCAGTCTGCAGTAGGAATGGGTTGACAGCCAAACACACGTGAGGACCTATGTGGCTGGACCATCTCCAACCAACAACTGATCCCTGGGAAACAACATCTGGAGGATAGTAGGAAGAAAGATCTCTTGGTCAGAAGGGCAAACTACATATATGGAAGAGTGCTACATCCAACACCTGGAATTTTACATTAGGTCCATGATAGGAAAGGCATCATGCCATTGACACCTGCAGAATTGCACTGCCCTACTTTCCAACTGAGTGGTATTGTGCACATCAGGGTTTTGCAGTCAGTACCAATACTGGTACCGGCGATACTCGGTGTCCAGTACTGGTGCAGGCAGTCAGTTCCAGCAGTACCAGTACTGGTTTATAGTATATCATAAGTTGGGAATAATATCCGTTATCACGTGTCCCATCTTTGGAGTTTGACCGAATGCCTCCTCTGGTATTTCAGCTTTGATTTTCACAGAATAATAAATATCTGATGTGATAGTTTCAAGTTCATACTTCAGTCAATAAACAAATCTCACCATAAAAATCAGCAATAGCATGAAAAATGGAAAACTGGTAACTCCCACACTCTGGAGGAGAACATGAATGTGCCTATGTGACTGATTGCACGTTAGGTGGGTGCACGTGTGATTAAACCTTAGCATGTGGGCAGGTCAAACTAAACATGTCCTGACATTTTAGTGAGTTACATTCAAAATTTAATTAAACTACTTAAATATCAAACCATAGATAATCAATCAAATTTTAATATTATACAAGTTTTAAGTTCTAAATCGTAGAAGGAAATATTTAAAAACAACCTCCAATTTCCCTATTGTGAGAATTTTGATATTTGTTCTTCAAACGTCTCCTGTTCTAGATTTTTTGTCCACCCCCTAGAAAACTATGAAATGTTACATAAAATATTCTCTATGATTTCGTCATAAATATTCTGAAGCTATGTTTTTATATTTTTCAATCTTATGGGGCTAAAGAGCAATCAATGAAAATTCAGAAACCACTTTCCACACCTACCTCTGACATGCTTTAATCTACAATTTGCTAATAGGTTTTTGTGAGTCTGACTCCCATTAAATCTATAACCACTAGAAAGCCTAGTTTTCAACTGATTCATTGCCATAGTCATCATACCGCATGGGCTTACAGATAACTGACAACTTGGTTTGATGTGAAAAAAAAAATTCCCACGAGAAAACACTGGGAAGAATAGTTGAATTTCTAACTGCTAAAGTCACATGATTAGAGATGCTCAAGTACTAGTACCGGCAACCTGGTACCGTTGGTACTATTGCAAACCCTGGTGCACACTCAGGAGGATAGGCCTCCATGGTTCACCACCCCAGTAGCAAGGACTCCCATACTCCACTAGAAGGAGGAAATAAATAATGCATTGGAGAATATGGAGGACAACAGCATCAGAAACAGTATAATGGGTGACCGTGATACCCTGTATTGAAAAGTAGAGCAATCATATTAATGGAGTGCATGGTCCATCACCAAGCAGTGTTTGGAATTGTACATCAGATCTATGGTAGGATGAGAGTCAAGTGCTACGGATCATCAGAGATGGGCAGCAATTTCTGTTTGCTTTACTCATGTTAATCCATGAGTGTACAGTCAGGGACAAACATATTTATGAAGCAGAAGAGCATGAGGTACACCTACAAGTGGTCCAGTGGAACATCCCATCTCAACAGTGAGTGTAAAA